ATAAGGAGTATCGATAAAGGTATCGATATCAATAAATATTAACGATCCCCATCCCTAGTTTTGTGTGATGTAATTTAAGTGTGATTTTGATTTTAAGCATTTTAACTTCTGTTTCAATATGTGCTATGATAAAATCTTAGCACCTATATCTCCTGCAGAGGTTTTTCTATACAATGACATATCTGTGTGCTTTTGCTTTTGTCTCCCCAGCCTGCTTAAATCCAGTAGGCTAATATTTTCTCAACAGTTATTTTTGATACTAAAAGAGCCTCGTTCTGGTTCTCGCTTTCATATATACCCTAGAAATGTTGCTGTTCAGGATGTGCCAGAAGGGCACATAAATGGTCATGTTTGATAAGTAGCGTACAGAGACCTCACACCGGGCTCAACATGTGACATATTAATACCAGTTGTTTCTTTCCACAGTCCAGTATAAACAGAATGGATCAGGACTAAGTAGGGAAATGATGCATCTCAAGCAAAAATGCGAGCGCCTTAAGACAGAGCATGTTCAGCAAACAACGGTGAGACAACACTAGTTGCAATTTGAGACCTGAACATAACACCATTTAGTTCAACTTGACTCCCTAATGGTTTTTTTTGTGCTTGTTTAGGCAAATGCTGTGATCTCTTAGGTAATTTGTTGGTTTGGTTGTCTTTCACAGGATCTTTTAGACCTGCTGAGAACCTGTGTGGAAAATCTGAAAACGAGTCAGGACAATTTCATCAGTAGGCTGAATACATGGAAAGTGGAGCAGCACAAATCTGTTATAGGATATCCCTTTAATGATGACCTCTTTCCACTGCAGACCTGGTGAGGTTTCCTCCCTTTGTTGTGGTACATCTGTGCTTTGCTTATCTTATATCCTATTGAAGAAAACATACCTTAAGGTATTTAACAAGTACAGTTGACTGAATTAGGTTAATGTCATATAAATAACTCACTTTTCAATACTACTGTAAAAAGGCAGTACCAGTTTTGAAAACATTTATTTCTTTTTTATATTTGTTTTCATTTAAATGTAATTCCAATGGCATATATAAAATCTGCACAAATCAAGAAATTAAGTTCTTAAACATGCTAAGAAACTCTCCACCTGAGTTTTGATGTTTTATACTTGTTGGTAAGCTCCAAATGTCTATCCAGATTAACGTTAGGACACAGACTAGGGCACTTCAAACCACCATAAGACTTCCAATCACAACAAACATGTTAGTGTTGTTAAAATAAAAGATTAATTTAAGCCTAAATGTCAGAAACATAAATAATTTTAGGTTTAATAGTATAAATGGCCAGTTGGATGGAATCTAAATGCCTTTGGATATATGGATATTTGTTTTAACTGTACATAACAGGCTAGTCATAATTTATGAAATTTTTTAAGCTACAGTATTGCTTTAACATTTTGTCTTGATATCATGCTATCATTACTGTTGCAATAAATATCAAAAAGCCCAGTTGACACTTTTTTGACCCATCAGTCTGTAATAGACCTCTACTGAAATAATTTGATAAATCAAACTAAAATGTGTTTTTAGAACAATTCAAACTATTTTATATATGTTTTTAAAAATATTTTTTTAGTAACTGTATGATAAAAAAAAAAATGCATTTTCAGAGTTTTTAATTAAAAAACATTGGTCTATGAAAACCTCAGAATATTTATAATTTCAGGAGCTAAGACTCACAGTGGTTGAGTCATTTTGTAGAAAAAATTATATGTGATCCACTGTTTTAAAAAAAATGTATTTTGTATTAATAGTTGTAAAAGTTTTTTCATTTTAAATACTAAGCACAGACTGTAGATTAGCCTTTTAAGAGAAGGCAGAAGGGAAACCCTTAATGTATGGCGTTCTTTTGAGAAATATAAGAGGTTTGCTTTAAAAAAAATTAGAACAATTCTGTATTATCAAGTGAGCGGAAATCAAAGTGATCAGTAACCAAAGTAAAGCTTCACTCATGTTGTGCTGTATTGTGGTGAAGCAGTTTGAATTTTATACCACAAAGTGTCAGCTTTATACATTTCCCCCTGTATGATTGTGTTTGTGTTGCCACTAGACTTTGGCGCGAGGAGGATGTATAAACCAACCAACTAACTTTGTCCTGAACCAGATTTTTCATTGAGTTTTTCACATTTCTTTTGTTCCTGTATATTAATCAGGTCTGAACAGCTGCTTGCAATAAACAGTAACCTTTACCAGGAGGCAATGCTGATTAATGAACCCATCCAAGAAATCAAAGAAGAGCTGAAGGCATGTCTTAAGGATCTGATTGAAAGGTAGCACTGTACACTTGTCCTACGCTTTCTGTTATTTATTTTTTTTTCTTTTTTCAAAGTCTATGATAAACTGAGACAAATTGTTTATCTCAGCATTTTCATTGTTTTACATACACTCACAATTTTTTTTACAATAATAAATTTCTTTCTTTTCTTTTGCGCAGCTCTTTTGTTGTGGAAAAACAACCGCCTCAGGTCATAAAAACACAGTCAAAATTTTCAGCAACTGTGAGATACCTGCTGGGGGAAAAACTAATACCTGGGACACCTGTGACGGTCAGGGCACAGATTATTAATGAAAACCAGGCTAGAAACTTGAGCCTTGCATCTGGGTGAGTAACATTCAAAGCTAGATGCTTACTCTTTTTGATTTATTTTTGAAGAGATAAGTTTTAAGTCTCATGTGAAATCACAATGTTTTTTCTCATTACAGTATTTTCTTAAAAATAAAGTTTAACGGTTAAAATTACACACAGAAATATAACTTCAGCTGATTCAAACATCATATATATATATATATATATATATATATATATATATATATATATATATATAT